AGATATGGCAGGACAAGTCACTGGGTGTGAAACAGAAAATTCCAGTCAACCGATGAGACCCCAGCACAACACCGAGGTCTTTGTAATTTTCTTCTTTAAAGTTGTTTCTAGATATTCCATTATCATGACAATCTTTCCAAAGTGACCTTTTCCCTGCACTGTCCGAAATAGAAATTTCAGTTCATTCCTGCCTATGGCAGGAATAAAACACACCCAACATTCAGCTTCTTCCCAGATTACACAGTCTGCAATAGAATACCATCATAACTTCCTTTCAAAGCAGAATATTCATCCAATTAAAACTGAATATTTTTTAAGAATGCTCACAATAGGGCCGGGCGTGGTGGCTCACGCCTGTAATCCCAGCACTTTGGGAGGCCGAGGCGGATGGATCACGAGGTCAAGAGATCGAGAGCATCCTGGTCAACATGGTGAAACTCCGTCTCTACTGAAAATACAAAAAAATTAGCTGGGCATGGTGGTGCATGCCTGTAGTTCCAGCTACTCGGGAGGCTGAGGCAGGAGAATTGCCTGAACCCAGGAGGCGGAAGTTTCAGTGAGCCGAGATCGCGCCTGGGTAACAAGAGCGAAACTCCATGTCAAAAAAAAAAAAAAAAAGAACGCTCACAATAAAAAAGATAATTGCATTGTTGTCAAAAATTATGACTAATAAGGTACAGTAGAGTCTCATAAAATAATTTTTATAAAAGTATTAACATTTATCATGTGCTACTAACGAAACATCATTATAAAAGATTTAAAAATAACTAGAAAAATAAACATTCATTGCATGTAAAATATACAACCAAAATGAACTTTAAAATGGTAGAAAAATACATTAAACACAATAAATTTGCTTATTCAACATAGTGATATGGCCTACTATACAGAAATTAGTTTCTTCAAATACTCATTTTTTAAAAAAAATATTTTCTTTGCACTCTGTTGTGTTATGAGGTTATTCTGTTGTGTTAAGAGGTTATTCTATGAACAGGTTTCTATTGTAGACCCTCACTAAAAGTCAAAATCTTTAAGGTACAGTCCTCACTTAAAAAAAAAGTCAGGGAAAACCTTTCACACATAAAGAAATAGAGAAAATTGCTAAAGAAAAGGGGGAAAAAAAGCCCCCTTGGCAGGTAAGCAATAGCTCTGCCTGCGCAGTAATTTACGGTAATATCAGAAAGCTTTTGATAAAATTTCACACATATTGCAGGTTAGGACATCGGGAAAGATAAATTACTCAAAGAGATAGGGGAAATTAAACCATTTATATAGGGGGATATATTTTGTAAAAGAGAATTTGGCAATTGGTTTTGATAGTCATAACAATTTATGTAATTTCTATGTGCATTGGGAACTTGCTGTCTGAAAAAGTGGCAAGCTAACATTTCCTCTATTACTACAAAAAGTCATTTTTGAGAGCAATAAATATGAGAAGGTTTAAAATGTGTGCGTGTGTGTGTGTGTGTGTGTCATACACTATATACATAGTAAGACATCTGGTAATGTTTGTGAGCCTAATAAATTTCTATCATTTGTTTAGTTTAGCTCTTTTAAACTCTTATTTTTATTTTATTTGATAGCAAATCAATTTTCCAATAAAATAATTTTGGCTTTGGCATATTATGATGATAAAGCAATTTAAAATATATTTCTGTAACTACTGAAAAGTACTTTCACGCTAGATATGCAGTAAATAAATGAAGACATATTCACACGAGTTACACTTCCTTTCTTGTTATCAAAAAAAAAAATGAGCCTTAATTTACATATTTCTTCATCAAACCCATAAGCCCTTATTAAGGTCAAAGCTTAAATATATTTGTTATTCTACGGAATCTTATATTTTGAATGTTAAAATACCATTTAGTGCTTTGATTTCACTTTCTATATTAAAAAATATATAAATGACATCAATGAAGACTTTTTAAAATGAATTTTCTCATATTCCTCAATGACCATTTTAAATAAACTGTCCCTGCTCTCCTCTGAACTTCAGTAAATCTTTGGCCTGTCACTGTCATTCTTAAATTGATGTCTCAACTCAGTCTCTGACAACAACCACTATGGAGCGCTTCATTTAAAGAAACTGAAAACATTTTGTCATGCAAAAAAAGCGTGTTATGGGAACTCTGGTTACTTGTTTTTTAAAGAAAACTGACAGAAAAATTTGGATAAAGAAATGTAAGTCTGTCTCTGTTCTCTCCTGAGGCAGAGCTTTAATGAGTAGTTCTGGAAACTCCTTAAATAATAAACATATATACATATATCACCGACCCGGCTGGTCAATACTTTTAAGCTGGCCGGTGCTTTTCAATAAAGATAATATCAGAATCTGAAGGAACTGGTTTGAGTTTCTAAAGTATTTTGAGGAAATATTTTGTGAGAATGGGAAGCGTATTTTAATGCCATTCACATGTTTCCCTGAGAATGAAAGCTGATCTGCAAGGGCGTTGAAAGCATCACGGGCTAATTTCATTGTAATTTCGGGGTCTGGGAGGGAGGTGAGGAGAACCAGGAGTTGGGTGAGGGTTCAAGAGCATCGAGGTGAACACTGTCGACCCATTGGAAAATCACTAAGTGCTGGAACCAACTCTAGAAGGTTCATGTTTTGAGCCTTTATGGCAATTGTGCAGCTCTCTTGAAAATTTACACTGTCATTTTATTTATAGCAGATGTCTCTTAAAGCAAACATTTTTACTTCATACTACACAAATATTACAGAAAATTGCAAACATAATGTGGAGTTTTGGTCGCGCTGTAGAAATCTACAGTATTTTCTGTAATGGATCATGAGCAAGGGAAAAAAACTGATACTGATCTAAGGCTAGAGGATAAGGGGTAATCAAAACAAGGCTTCTGCAGATGCTTTTATGAAACTTGTTTTCAAAGAAAAGGCAAAAGTTGAAACTGTGGATTAAACCAACTAAATTCAATCATCTTGTATTCAAAATACATTCTGCACTTTAGAATAAAGTGACCAGAAGCCAGTGTGAGGCAATTCCACTGCCTGAGCTATTCAAACAAAATAGTGTTTATTTGGATTTTCCCAAACAAAATTTGTATTTGATTCTGGTGCATACCCAGTGGGGAAAAAAAAATCTAAATATGTATTTCATTTTTCTACCAGTTCTGAATTGTAGTTCTTTTGTGAACTAATTTTGAGTATAGTGACTTAAATATATGTTCTATGGCTGCTCAGAAATTGCTGAACTGCCTGATGGAAAAGTTTTAGCATCTGAAATTTAGCCCTTAATATAAAAATATAATGTGCAATTAAAAGAGGAAGTAAATTCTGTTTGGAAACAGAATTCAAAAATAGAGAATTATATAAACGTTGGAAATTAAAATCCATATAAGTAAAACCTGTGTTTCTGAGAATTCACTGTTTCTTGTGCATGATTTATAACAATATACATTTCAAAAAGGAAGTCATTAAAGTAATGTGGCTGTTATGTTTTCACAGGCCTTTTTGAGAGTTTAACCAGTACAACAGAATAATCTCTCTGGACTCTAAAAACACAAATCCGTGACAAGGACATAAGATTGATGGAATTTGTAATCATATATTTTTACTTATGTAATAAATTTGTAATTTCAAGGACGTTATTCAGAATGACCACACTGCATTACAATGTGTGGATTCCTATGCTGTTTTGCATTAATGTCTGCCGAAAAATGTTACACTCTTAATCTGCCATTGGTGCTTCAGTGGGTTGCTTACTATTATAATTCTGGTCACAGATGAGGGTTAAAATATCTCTAACCTTTACAAATGTATTATGTGGCACCACTGACATCGCTTTTATTGCAGATAAAATCTATGGCAAATTTTCTGTATGACAAAAGAAGAACATGATTTCATATTAAATTCTGATGATTGAGACATATTTCTCTACTTGTACTTCTGAAATGTTTTGGATGTAGTAACAATGAGCAATACTCCTCTTCGATTACATCAATAAAATCTCAAAATCCACTTCATTTTTATGGGTCCAGAGCTTCAGTAAATATTTCTTAAGCAGAACTGAAAAACAGTGTGAAAAATATTCAGAATTCAGCTCACTTCTAACCCTGCTGATCAAAACAGACAAAACATTCAGCTGGTTCAACATAATGAGAAGCAGAAAGAAGCCACAAAAGAGCCTGGAAATTGAGTGTTGCCGTGAAGGTGTATAAGAGCTCAAGCAAAAGTTTCTCAAATATAAGCACCAAGATAATAGTGGGTCCCTCTGACAGTCATTTAAAAGCAAGAATAATGCCTATTATAGTAACTTTAAGGAGCTATAAAAGCACTTGAGTTTTCAGGGAGTCATAGACTTGTGAAATGTTTCTGACATTCCATCAAAAAACTGGTGTTATGACATCGTCATAATACATAATCGTACAGTCAAGGAACGATTAGAAGCAAATCCATAATAGCATTTTTTAAAAACAAATTTCACGTTGCATTCCAGACGTCTTCTTTCTTGCTTCTTTCCTTAGACTGAGTGATCAAGAGAAAGGTGGATAGAATTGTTGTTTCCTGATGCCTTTTCTGGACAATATCTTAGAACAGATGAAAATTCTATTGGTCCATATTTTTTTCATGTTTTGTGATTGTCAAGAACCTTACATAAATCTACGTCTGATGATACAAACTGTCTAATAGTACAATATTCCCTCCAAAACTGTACTATTAGACAGTTTTCAGGGGGAAGTGTCCCTTTCAGGGACATTTTTATGAGGATGCCTCACAACTATCAAGGCTGTGTGGATTAAGGTTCTTGGGGATCTTCCGAAGTTGAGTCTTCGTTTGTTGCTTTCTCTGCATGCCGCTAGAGACTTCTCTAGACTATTTGAGGGATAGGCCTTTAATTGCAAGATTACCTGAAACCAGACCCAACTTTGGAGTAGCAAACAGTCAAAACGCAACCCTCACCAAAAAAAAAAAAAAAGCAACATGTGGCTTTAATTTATTTATTCTTTCAATTTATTTTTAAAAATTCTTGCCCATTACCTCAGCCTTTAGGCTCATGTGCATAATAAAAAACATTTCTGGGAATAAATATACATATTAACTGTGTCTACTAAGATTCCCCCCTAAAAAGTCCATCAAAATGACTTATTTTATACTAAGGAGTCTCAATTGCAAGTCTATTAGTAAAATAATTTTATTATATTGTAAGATATTTCTGACATCAATTAATTACATTTATATCTAGCTCTATAGTGTAATGACTTGTAATATTAATTGTGATTTTAATTTACAAAGAGAATTTGTAAAGTTTGCCTCAAGTTTTAGTGTTTAATGATTTTCCACATTTAGACTGTGTCTACAAATTGAGACTTCTCTGTTTTTCTAGTTAAACAACTGGTCATTTCAAATCTTCATGTTTTTGATTTTTTTCCACTGAATTGACCAATTTAATTTGCTTTGGGGCAATAAAGAAACACAGCGTAATAGACAAACTAAAAGTAACTACAAAATAATGTTTCACTTTGGCTATGTACTGTTCAGTTTGGCCATATGACCAGAACTTTACTCCTAGAATAGGAGTTTCCCATGGCTGAAGCCAGAAAACTCTAAAAATCTGATTTCAAAATAGAGTATTGTCATGCCTGACATTAGCTAATAAAACCAACTAAGATGTCTATGCTGGATCAGCAATAAGTTGATTCTTTCCCAAAATCAACACGTTTTACATTTGGTCATTGCATCCCAGAAAGCAAACTGGCTGCAAGGTGACCTGGGCCTGCATCTCAGCACCTCCATACACAAGTCACATACTTCTTCGTAACCCCATTTCCTCATGCGGAAGACAAAGATTGATGATGAAATGAGGTAGTAGATATAAAGTGCTTAGAATAGAATTTCTCTCAAGTAATCAATAAATGTTTGCTATTATTATTATTGTCATTCAACCTAATATTGTTATTCACATTTTTCACTTTTAACATGTTATACCACTTGTGTGAAATAACCTTCTCTTTCTGTCTTGCCTTTGTAAAGTCAATACTTTCTTCCTGGCTCAGCTGAACACCAGCCCAAGGTGATTTCTCTTTTCTCTCAACTCATATTGACCTTTTATCCCAAACCACAGTTTAAGACATGTATTATTCTCCAGAGATTTCTTACCTCCACACACACACAAAGTACAAGTTCCTTGAAGAAGGGGACAGCTTGCTCTATTTCTTGTGCCTAGATTCGGCATGTGATGCATACTACATCCACATCACAACTAACGCACAGAATCCAGAGTCAACTAGCCATATCATATGACATCCTTTAATTTTCCTGGTCAAGTTAGAAAACCACATTGTTTCAGCAGAAACCTACCTTGATTTTTTGAATTTTTGTTTGTTTTTGTGCTATTTTTGCTTAAACACAATAATCGGTGTTCCTTTAACAGTGACTCTATATAATTCTGCCTTTGGATTACAAAACACATTCTTACACACTAAAATTCTTTGGATTGAGTCCAACAAGGTCCAGGATAATATAGTGGTTTCCTCTATACTGCGGTCTTTCCAAAACAGGTCTTGTATCTTAATGTTGCATTGCAGAATAAAATACAGATTCTTGAAAATGTCTGTCAGGCTCCTTCAATTCCCTGAAGCCAAAACAAATATGTCTACTGTAATTATTGGCACAATTAACGGTTACAATTATTAGGCGTGGTGTTTATATACATCCAATTCTTAGTGTTAACCATGGGAATTTTGAATATTTATGTATGGATTTCATTTGACCCCATTAAGTAAGTGGCTTGGAAAAAGAGAAGTCGTTGTCTGAATTATTACATGCCTAGAAAACGATATTTAAATTTTGTAATTGCCTCATATTAGTAAAAGAAAAAATCTGTTTTCATATTAAAATGAAGCCTCAAAGAATCTGATTTTATTGCTTATTTCATTTTGTTACTTTGCTAAAAACATAGCTCTTATCCAGTTATCACTCTTTTCTTCCCATCATAAACCAGGGTACTTTAATTCTTTCACTGTGTCATAAAAGATTCAATAAATTCTGATTTGCATTTCAAATTCAGCTCTTTTTTCAGAAGGACATCAGATTCAATGACAATTACATCACTAATCTCTTTAGCACTGACAGTGGGAAGCCAAGCTCAAGCTCCTTTTGACTGAAGTCCTAAAGACGGAAGGTCATGTAATGTTCCTTCTTAGCAATAGTGAATTTTTATTTTGGCAAAATCTTTTATTTTATTTTTGTTAACAAATATGTGCTCATTTAAGTCATTTGCTTTCATTAAGCATTTCATACTATTTGTCTCTTTCTCCTTTCTTTAATAAATGAGCATCTTATTATTTTTGCCACAAAAAGAGGACATTTCGTGTTGATTAAGCACGGGAATTTGTCGTTCTTGTTATTGGTGTTATTTTGGAAATACTAAGGAAATCATATTCATATAATTTGGGGGAGGTGTTTTTCCTTTTTGTTGTTGTTTAACCAATTGTAATGACGAAAAATGTAAGCACCCATGTATGTATATGTATGGGTGTGTATACGTATATGTGTGTAAATAACATCTACAAATATTTTGAGATCTAGTGACAGAGACAAAGATAAATCTACCTCTTGAATAAATGTACTGTGAATTAATTATTGCTCTTCTAGATTCTATATACAATTTCCTCTATCTTCAAAGACTTGTCATAATGGCAGCCAGTAATACTGCACAAATTAGACAGTTGAAGCAACTCTATTTCTGGCACTTTATAAATGTTTCTATCTCTGAAAAGGAAGGAACAATATAAAGTAAATAAACCTTGAAGTTATTATAACAATTTAGTGTAGATATTAATGAAGTAATTATCAAATATTTTGATATTCACATGACATGGGCAATAAATAGAAACTAAAGAGAAGGGTTTTTGAAAAGAATATCAACTTCCAAACTATTTAGTTATGTTATGCTGAGTTAAAATATTTTTTTATTTGTACAGTGGAGACTTTTAATGTACAAACTTTTCTGGCTTTTAGTTTATCAAGTTATTTTAATCCTAATTATTTTAGATAAATCACAATTTTAAGCTGTTTAACTTATTCAGAAAATAGCTACTAACCAATAACTTTTAAAATTATTTTTTACATGTAAGACATTTTGCATTAAAAGTACATTTTAGAAAGCATGGGGTAATGATGGTGACGAACTACAAGATCCCAAAAACAAAAAGTTATACATGTTATTTCTGTATTTTTTAAAATAATAGATCTGTTTTGACTACACTGAACCTAGTTCAATCAACTATTATAAGCATATATCTTTTCAAGTATAAACCAGGTGCTGAATGAACACTTCTTAAATTAAATTAAGGAGAAAAACAGTCAATAAGTGATTTACTTATAGTGACCAAGAAATTCTGTATCTATGACAGGATAAGCTGGTCAATTAATCAAATGAATTGTTTGATTCTACCATTATTTTTTAATTCAAATATAATGGAATGTGTGCATGTGCATGTAGACGTAAGTTCAGAAAACTTTCGAAAACTTTGCATTGAAAATACATCCAAATATAAAATAAAATCTACAACAAAATATATAAATATTTCCAGGTTAAGTTAGTTCAAAGTGCCTAGTCAAGTTGAGGACTTGGAGGTGTGTGTGGCCCAAAGCATTCAAATTTATTTAAAGCGTATACATGTACATGGGAGCCTTCAGAGTGAAGCTCCCCGGGTGGAAAGAAGGAAGGAAGAGTGAAAGAGGAAAGGAAATTTAAAAATTGATTCAGCAAATAAATAAGTATTCAAAAATAATGCTTTGGTGTGCTTGGTGGTTCACGTCTGTAATTGAAGCCCTTTGGGAGGCTGAGGCAGGTGGATAGTTTGAGCTCAGAAGTCCAAGACTAGCCTGGGCAACATGGTGAGACCCCCTTTCTACTAAAAGTACAAAAATGAGCCAGGCATGGTGGCCCCGCCTGTGGGCCCAGCTATTCTTTTTTTTTTTTGGGGGGGGCCCAGCTATTCTTGAGGCTGAGGTGGAAGGATTGCTTGAACCCGAGAGGCAGAAGTTGAAGTGAGCCAAGATGGCACCACTGCACTCCAGCCTGGGTGACAGACAGAGACCCTGTCTCAAAACAAACAAACAAACAAATAAAAAGTTATCAATATTATGTATGAATAATGTAATAAATAGTAACATTCAAGTGTAATTTAGGTAAATATTTCTTTTGTCCCTCCCCTTTCCTATCAAAATCCTTTACTTTGCACATTTTTGAGAGAATAAAACATGAATTTTTCAGTTACTATCTTGGTATATTACTGCATAATAAAATAAATTTTTCTTAGTTTATAAAAACAAATAATATAAATTATCCATATCACTTTATATATACAGTGTGTGTGTGTGTGTGTGTGTGTGTGTGTGTGTATACACATATTTAAGGGTTTACTAATTCTGGGAAACAGTATAAAAAAGAAATTGAGTGCTAAACTGAAACTAACATTTTTACTTTCTTTAATTTGATTATAGAAAAATATCAGTAATGAGCTAACAGCACATAAATTATTCTCTTCGTGTTAATTACACTCACACAGCTATGTCTGCTGAAATCACAATAGCTAAAATGAAAAAAAAAAAAGGTATCTGTATTATTATCCAAACAATGCCCATTTATAAAGATATTAAGAAACAGTTTGTTATCTTCCAATTAAACATATCTAAATGTTTTGTGTCATAACAATCAAACAAGTGAATGATTGACTAATTTTCTAGCAGGATGTTTGTGCATTATGTAGACATAACCAATGAATTATTGTACTTCTAAAAGGCCTGGATAAATTCTCAGAAGTTTTTTGTATGCACGAACTTTGTCATTACATGTGAAGAATGTTAAGTCTAGGAGAGATGAAATGTTTCCTAATTTTCAGAAGATAAATGTACAAATACATTCATGTTCAAAGTGATCTCCTTTTTTTCAATATGCAGAGAAACTAAGAAAGACATGAAAATATCTCCTAGTGGAAAAATAGACCAATGGTAAGAAATGGTTGGCAAGCAAGAGACGAGATGGTTAACAGGACATAAACAGAAAAGATCCCGGAGACAAAAAGTGTATGGAAACAGCTAGTCATGGATGAAGGGGCATACTGGGAGTATACAAACTTGGAGAAGGCAGAATTGTGCTGAAACTGACCACTTCTAGTTCCCGAATCTAAAATCCACACATTCACCTATCCTGCTACCCTGGAATTTCAGTCTCTGGACATAGCTGTTACCATGCTGCTTTGAAAAAGTGCAGTGGGATAATGCAATGTTAGTTATCATTCACTGAATTAATGAAAAGCTTTTGCCTAAACAACTACCATTAAGAGTTTAAGAAAACATCATTCCAGATGCACATCTTAGGTGGAGGCTAAAATGAAAAGGTAAGATTTTAGATAAGATACTTCAGGGTCAAAAACCTATTTTAATACAACCTCAGTTATTCACCCTGCAATTTTCATTCACATATAGATTTCCACAGAAAAAATAAATAACTAGCAAAAAAGAATCTCCTTAGTTGTGTCTTCAAGAGAATTTAAGAAATTAGATTCAGAAATAGATTTGTATAACAGGCCATCCTGGCAATTCCATTTTTTCAAAGAGTGTTGCAATCATCTATGTCACTGTCCACATTGTCTGTTTCACTCTATAGAAATCTTTTAAAAGCCAGAGTTGCTGCAAGTCCTGCCACAACTAACCATTAAGCTTTTTTTCAAAAGTATTGACATTGATTTGTACTTACCAAAGTATATTATGTATCTCATGGGTAAGGCCTTTAATTGTAACAAATAATAAAGAAACACATTGGAAATATGAATAAAATAAAATATGACAAAGTTCTATTAGGCTGCCCATAACCCTCAGTAGCTTTCCTTAAAAAGAAAAAAGCCACTCCCTTACTGTCTTAAAATCATACTCTCGTACTTATACACCTAGAGGAATTAATAGACAACTAAAGGCCTTAAATAACCCAGAGAGCAGAAAATACATGGGACCATTCTTGAAAGACACTAGAAAAAATTCTGAGAGGTGTGGTTTATTATAGTGTTTAATAGTATTAAAACAAATAAAGTTGTAAAAGTAATAATAATACCAAACATATTGAACTAATTTTAAAATAACAGTTTCAAATGATTTTAGCCAGGGACTTCTCTGACATTCATCTAAATTTGATAGACTTTGCTTTTCATTTCTTTTGCCTTTCATACCTCAAGGCCAATGCTTAAAATAACTCCAGATTCAGGTCCTCTATATCGTCCTCAGCTGAGTTCCCCATGATATTTCTTCTAGCCCTTATTCTGCCTACATTTCCCATCCATCAAAAGAACTATCCATCTCGTTTTCATTTGCACTACATTCTCACCATGCTATCGTTGAAATCCATTCTATGGGACCATGTTCTATGTGAAAATGCTATAATTAGATCCTTCTGGGTCATTTGGTAATGAACCCATCTGGGTTTGATCCAACATGTACTAGTTTTATACCAAATCTGACCTATTATGGCTAGAATTACATTAAGGTTTCATTCTATGTTCTTTCTTATTTAAGTTGTGAGCTGTCATCCTGGGATTTTAAGCAACAAACTATGAAAACTAAGCTTACATAAGGATAATTAAGTTAAAGTACTCACTTTTAGGTATGACTTTCTTAAGAGTGAGCCAGGGACAAAGACAAATGGCTGGATTTGGGTCTCCTGCTAATTAGAATGGTAGCTCTCCAACTATTTTAATCAATATCCATTTAAACATGGTAAATAACCCTAAAAACCGCTTGGACTGTTCTCAATTTCTATTGGAACTATTATTTCATAATAGCAATGAAACATCACTCATTATACGAATAAATTTGGGAGAGGAGGTTAGAGGTAGATGATATAGATGATTCACATATGATTCACAATACACATCTGAGACACTAATTATTATAACATTCGAGGACAGGACAGGCGCTGTGGTATACACCTGTAATCCCAACACTAGGGAGGCTAAGGCAAAGGATCTCCTGAGCCCAAGTGTTTGAGACCAGCACAGGCAACACAGTGAGACCCCCATCTCTTACAAAAAGAAAACCAATATTTATTTTGAATTAGCTGAATGTGCTGGCACACACCTGTAATCCTGGCTACCTGGGAGGCTGAGGTGAAAGGATCACTTGAGCCCAGTAAGTTGATAGTGCAGTGATCTATGATTGTGCTGCTGCATCCAGCCTGAGTGACAGAGACCATGGCTAAAAAAAAAAGGAAAAAGAAAACAAACAAACAAACAAAATTAGTGGTCAAATTAAGTATTGCTACCCACTATAGAGTTAAACAGCACAAGACAAAACGGATTATGATGAGCTAAACGAGAAAAAGATTATAAATAAAAGCCAAGGATAATAACAATTGCAAATGATCGGCAGCATACAAAAAGCTTCACAACATCTGAGCAGCCTTTCTGAGGATGGTGGAAGTGCCATTCACAACTGCAAGCACTCTGTGGGAGTAAGTGTAAAGAAAATCCAACAAACCTAGGATTAACAAATGCTGCCTTCTAAACACTAAATCATTGTAACTGAATAAATGACATAGTATTTTACTAGTAACCAGACTTTAATTGTATATGAAGATAATATCCTGTGGAATTGATGTCATTGCTCCTAAAGAACCAAAGAAAGAATTTAACATCACAGCAGCAGTTCACAAGCCATCACTGGGCCAAGGGACAATTTTTCAAACATCTGCTTGAATACTGAGCTCCTAAAAAAATTAGATGTGGCCGGGCACTGTGGCTCACGCCTGTAATCCCAGCACTTTGGGAGGCCGAGGAGGGATCACGAGGTCAAGAGATCCAGACCATCCTGGTCAACATGGTGAAACCCCGTCTCTACTAAAAATACAAAAAATTAGCTGGACACGGTGGCGCGTGCCTGTAATCCCAGCTACTCAGGAGGCTGAGGCAGGAGAATTGCCTGAACCCAGGAGGCAGAGGTTGCGGTGAGCCAAGATCGCGCCATTGCACTCCAGCCTGGGTAACAAGAGCGAAACTCCGTCTCAAAAAAAAAAATTAGACGTATGTTTGGTATGGCAGCCTAAAAGTCTGTCAACAATGGCATTGCACATCATCTGGATAACAACTCACAAACCAAATACCATACATAACTCACTTTTGGCTCACAATACCATATATTCAGGTTATCACTGGATCAAGCTTCACCCCTTTAATTGTCTAAGGCTAATGAGAAGTGTATTTCTTAGACAAATGAAGCGTACCTGCTAAGTAAAGGCTAACCAATACCATTTGAAATCCTGATGAAGATTTTTCTATAGCTTGATTGTAGAAAATTCTGAGAGAATTGTCATAGCAAGTGACAAGATAACTTTGGCATTACAAACTCAAAAAAGCCTGATTGTCATTTATATGGTGAGCAGCAGCAATTTGATTCCGACAAAACAACTTCATCTGTCCATTAAATTAATGATCTTAATTTAAATTTTATTAGTTTTGTAGTTTTTATTGACTTGCACTTGTAAAATGGTTTTTCTTATACATAATTATATAGAGCCAATAAGCACACAGTTTATACCTATTATGTTTAAACGTGTTTAAGTAATACCATAATAAGAATAATTAAGTCCAAGCTTAGGGTCATTAAGGAACTTTGCTCTTAAAAGGAGCTTATCTAGGCCAGGCGCGGTGGCTCATGCCTGTAATCCCAGCACTTTGGGAGGCCAAAGTGGGTGGATCATGAGGTCAGGAAATCGAGATCATCCTGTCCAACATGGTGAAATCCTGTCTCTACTAAAATACAAAAAAAAAATAGCTGGGCGTGGCGGGGTGCACCTGTAATCCCAGCTACTCAAGATGCTGAGGCAAGGGAATTGCATAAACCTGGGAAGCAGAGGTTGCAGTGAGCTGAGATCATTCCACTGCAATCCAGCCTGGGCTACAGAGCAATAATATTAAAAAAAAAAAAAAAAAAAAAAAAAAGAGCTTATATAATGAATGCCCTAGTTTGTGGCATTGAGAAGCACCTCTTTGGCCTAATTAATCCCCAAGAGAACAAGACCATCAACGAATGGGACAGGATGAACCTGAGGAGAACAGGGGTTGGGAAAGAGATTAGGAGACATTTCTGCAGTCAGCTGAAAAGATTATAGTAGGAAACTGCTTACCGAAAAGCTTCCTCCTACCTTTTGAAGACTTCTAGAATAATACCTCCTGGGAAACCCAGGCAACTGGAACTTTCTGGTTCTTCTAAAGAATTCTCTAGGCCAGGCATGGTGACTCACACCTGTAATCCCAGCACTTAGGAAGGCCGAGGCAGGTGGATCACCTGAAGTCGAGAGTTCAAGATCAGCCTGACCAGCATGGAGAAACCCCATCTCTACTAAAAATATAAAATTAGCCGGGCATGGTGATGCATGCCTGTGATCCCAGCTACTCGGGAGGCTGAAGCAGGAGAATCACTTGAACACGGGAGGCAGTGGTTGCAGTGAACCAAGATCATGCCATTGCACCATTGCACTCTAGCCTGGGCAACAAGAGTGAAACTGTCTCAAAAAAAAAAAGAAAGAAAGAAAAGAAAGAAAGAAAGAAAGAAAGAAAGAAAGAAAGAAAGAAAGAAAGAAAGAAAGAAAGAAAGAAAGAAAGAAAGAAAGAAAGAAGAATTCTCTTAAAGGCCACAAAATATCTCCCTCAAACTTCCAGAAATTTTTCTAATTCTCACTTGTCCACATCAAATCAAATACTAAGTTGGTTTTTGTGGGGGTTTTTTTTTTAACCTCCATACTCTTCTTGACTCAGAACTCTGCTTACCATTTCCATTGTTGCCACTGTTGAGAGAAACAATAATATGATTCCCACCCTAGGAAACTGGAGGTAATTCTTCCAGTGGTTCTTCAATGTGAACTCTTCTTCCATTTCAATGCATTTTACGCATTGTTCAATATTCCTACAGGAAAGATGGGATCGTTTTTGCCGTCCACTCTCAAAACCATGAAGGTTTGACATCACCAATTAAATCAGGCATTCAAGATAATCATCCTGACATTAATGATGTTTTCTTACCTGGCTTCAATCATTCTTTGGAGCATGGTCCACAATACTTCCTAAACTTCAACAATGTTCTAGATGTTTGTACCTATCACCTTCTGCCTCTGTGACTTTACATAAGCTGTTTCCTTAGCAGGAAATATATGTTCCTCCCACCGAGGTATCACACAACAGGTTTCCTAAGACTTCTAGACTCTGAAGCATGCACTCAGGGTTTAATTGGGTAGTGTTCTCTAGAGTGGTACTGAGAGAGTGTCTTAGTTAGCTCACGCTGCTATAACAAAATATCAAAAACTAGATAGCTTTTATAAACAACAGAAATTTGTTTCTCACAGTCTTGGAAGAGGAAAAGTTCAAGATCAAAGTGCCAGCAGGTACAGTGCCTGGTGAGGGCCCATTTCCTGGTTTGTAAATGAAGCCTTCCAGCTGTATCCTCACAAGGTAGAAAGGACAGAGCAGAGCTGCCTTCATGATCTAATCACCCCCAAAAGACCCTACCTTCTAATACCCTCACCTTGGGGGTCAGGATTTCAACACATGAATTTGGAGGGGACACAAAGCATTTGGGCCTAAAAGAGAGTAAGCCCAAAAGACTAAACAAAACAGGATTGTTTGGGAAGATGTTAAAGTTGAACTCAGATAAAATTGCAACAGTGGACTCTATTGATTCTGCTGAGAGCTCTGAAGCTGAGAAAACTTGGCAGAGAAGCCTCCAATCCAGGTAAAGCAGTCAGACATGTCTGTGTACCTCTATGTTGACCAGTCATCGGAGGCTGGCTGCCCTGGAAAAGGGATATAATTTTCGGCAAGCATCTTTCTTCAAGTGGAGGTAGCGGAGAGGTGAAGAAAGCTGTGAACAGCCACAAGTAGCTCAAATCAGGCAGGCTCTGAAAGCAGCCCTGCCCAGTGCAACACATCCACTTCAGCCAATCCCTTGTGCCACTCAAACCACTTGCTTCATAAAGTAGGTTCACCCACATAGGAAAAATTCCAGAATTCTCGTTGGTCTCTTTCCCTGTGGCCACTCAGGAGAGCAAAGTTGTGGGACAAAGTACAGCTAAAGACTGTAGATACACATTGTCTTTCCTCTGCTATCCATTTTTGATTCCCCTAATCCTAGATTAACACCTCTGCTGATGTAAGTAGTTTATAACGAAGGGTAAATTGGATCCTAATTTCTGAGGAGTCCAGTTCCCAGGTCACCATAAATTTCTCAGATCATGGCTGCTCTGTGTTTCCTTTTGCCATCAAATTGTATAAGACAGTACCAAAAAACACCCCAGTGGCTCACCTGGGTGCCCACTGTATTATTCTGTGCCCCTAGTGTGTAACACCAACCCTACTTTTCCTGCTTATAATGTTCAATAACCTACCAGGATCACTATTGCTCTCCTTGCCTGTTGGTCTCTTGTCAAAATAATCTGATGTGATTGGGTGGGATCCATAACATAGTTTAATGGAACTCAGGATATACCCCTTGGGGTCACTGTTCCTCATCTAATAACATTTCTAGACATACAGAACCTAGAGTGACAAATGTAGGAAGCACAAATTCCCCAAGTGGGTTACTACAAATAATGGTGGCTGAGGCCTCTTCTATTTCTACCCCAGATTTCCAGACTCATGAATTCTATCTACTAGGGATATAGCACCCTATTACAGTCATTTGTTTAATGTGAGCATTGTATTCCATGGGCTAGCACCTACATACACAAATTAGCACCTCAGTTGTACCTTCAAGAGACTATTCAACCAACAACCAATGGGGGGTGCAGTATGTGACAGAACCAGTGTATCCCATGATAACGTAGCTGCTGTCATACCTCCAGGGCTATAAAGTGGCTTCTTTAATCCAAGATAATGCTAGGCGAGATTCTATGCTGCTGGATGAAACACTGTCAGGCAGCACTTCTAGCTGAGGTTCCGTATGCCAGAAGTGGAAACTCGTACCAGGAACATATGAAGGTTTCGTCAAAATCAATCACTGCCCTTTCCAGAATAAGACGAATCCATTGAAAACAACTTTCCACCACGTTGGTGGTCGGTCTCCTAGCGAGCTGGTGACATATCAGGGGTTCATCATTGGTTTATATGGTGACATGACGAACTTTAGTTATCAACATTAGCAAGATCAGTCTTGGTAAGGAAATGTTCATACATTGGAGCTCCTTACACTGCACCATAACTACTCAG